GTCCTGTTAATGTATGGCTAAAGATGTACTTGTCAGCTCAATGCTGTTCTCCAGATACGACTCAGAGGTTTTATGTGATCAGAGCAGAGCACTTAAAGCGACACAGACATAATGAAACCCACACCAACAGTCGCATGACACTAGAGGAATTGCAGGATGAGGCAGTGGTTACCTGTATCTGCTGCCCCGGGACGTTGGCCTGGGTGCGTTCGGACGAGCCAGCTTGATCCTCATCCACAGTGCACGTCAGCTGGTGCTTGAGGACTTCTTCAAGACTATTAAACTCCTGGTAGCAGGGGAAACACATGTACACGGACGAACTCTCCATGACTGTCGGGGGAACGGAAATTTTAAAAAAAGAATATTCATGAGAATCAGTAATGCACACCTGGTTTAAAGATTCACAAAACTAACATGAGCTTTAAATCCATGAACAAGACTTCTACACGAGCCTTCTATATTAGGTTAGGTTGTGAACATTGCCCTCTCCTGATGAAAAGACGCGTGTGCATCATTAACACAGCATGAACACGAGTGCTCAGACTCTCAGGCTGCCAACATGACTCATCATGCACCGAGGCTGAGCTGATTGTTATTTTATCCATGCAGGTTGCTGCTCAACTGGACACCTCACCGGGTCCTCCTCTCCCTTCTCCGTTTGGTGGTCTGAGATGATGTTTAGCTCCAACGTCCATTAGATTTGTATTGTAGTAGAAGGCACTGGAAGGGCAGTCAGGCTCATGCTGCTGCTGAGAGTATCTAGAATCAAAGCTCGATCTGCAACCCTTCCCACACACTGAACACCGATCAGCCCTTCAACAAAAGCTGTTAGGAAAGTGCAACTAAACATCTCCGTTTGCATGAGACATTGGTCGAGTTTTAATAGGCAAATAATGAAAAAATATGAAAGAATGAAGGTATCCTGTACTTATATTGTGGGAAAAATAACAAAAGACTTATTGATGTTCCAAAAAACATCCAAAACTTTACTTCTTCAACACAGTCACGGCTGCCCCAGATTTTTTTCCACATATATTCAAAATTAGAACTGAAGGAAGAGGACCGGAGCCCTCAGGTCCTGGAAAATCTTTACTAGGTGCAAAAATAAAATAAAAAAGGAACTAAGGTTTCGACAGAGTTGTCTTCATCAGTTACCCGCCAGAGTGAGCTGTGTGAGCACCGGTGTTCAATTTGGATGAGGTGATTACTGCACATTCAACATTAGGTCACATTTTTAGGCAGTTTGTTGGCTATTCTTGGTTAGTACCAAAAGCTCCTAAAAACCATAGAAAACACATTTGTTTAAGTGGAAATGTAGATTAGATTAGATAGATTAGATATCCTTTATTGTCATTAAATGATTGCACATTCAACGAAATTTCCTAGAGCTCCACATTAGGCATCCACTAAAAATACTAAGAAAAATAGCTAAAACAAGTACAATATGCACCATGCAATAAAAACAAAAACATTACAGTACCTGCTGATCTTGGGAGTTTTTCTATTGCCGATACCGATATGTCTGAGCCATGTTTAGCCGATTGTCCAGATGTTTTCCACCTTATTTTTAAGCTAATGGTCGCTAATAACATCAGTTGATTCACTAAATTTCTTAAGCTGAATCACTTTTTGAACTCTGAATTTAACTGTTAAATCTTAACTTTGTGCACAGCTCGGTTTTAAAGTCAGACACCTAAATAAAGTTAATTTAGAGTATTTATTATGCAGATATTAGTGAACAACAAATGCATTCAATTAAATTCTGCAACAGCAATGGGCTGCCCGGGGATTTGCCTGATATTAAATCGGCTTTACTAAGGACAAATATCGATTAATGTATAAAAAGAGTAAATATCGGCACAACATATCAACCGACCAATATATCGCTCTACCCCTACTTGAGGGTATGGGCGGATATTATGTTTATTTATTTGGCAGACGCTTTTATCCAAAGCGACGTACAAATCTATAGGGCATGTTGTGATTTGTGGGGGAAACCGGAGTACCGGGAGGAAACCCACGCAATATGTAACTCCACACAGAAAGGCTGCAGCCGAGTTTCGAACCTGCAACCTTTTTGCTGCGAGGCAACAGTGCTAACAACTGCACCACCATGCAGCCCAAGAAGATCAAGATGTTGTCTGTAGGAACAGCTGGTAAAGATATGTCAACAAATTAATCACAATCAGACCTAGATGAAGAAATGTGATGAATTAACAGATTATTTTTACCCCAATTAGTTTTGACATAAAGTGTTTTATTTACCCATCCTTCTCTTTGACCTCACGTTTAGACTATGCCAACTCAGTACTTATATGTGTCAGTGTCTCAGCAATTGAGCGTCTCTTCAGAGTACAGAATGCAGCGGCTCGATTCCTGACAAACACCTCTAGATGCTGTCACATTTCACCTGTCCTTGCACACTTGCACTGGCTGCCTGTTAAATATCGTATCCAGTTTAAGGTTTTAACCTTTGTTTACAATACCCTGAATGGTCAAGTCCCTGCTTATCTGTCAGAACTGCTTAAGCCTTATGCTCCAACCAGAAACCTGCGATCGGCAGATCAATTGCTTTTGTGCATCCCAAAAATGAAGAATACATCTCGTAGGAAGCGGGCCTTTGCGTTCGCTGCCCCTAAACTTTGGAATGCTCTCCCACTTCCACAGGCCGCAGCACCGGGTCGGTGCAAGTCTGTACTGAAGGCCTACTTCCATCATTTAGCTTTTGATCAATGACCAAGCTTTTATTGTTTTTATTGTGACTTTGTTGGGGTTTTTTTTTTACTCTAGTATGTTTCTTTTAAATTTTTAGGTTATCTGTTTTATCTCCTCTATGATATTTATCTTGGGGGTTTTCCTTCGTATTACTACTGTACAGCACTTTGGTCAGCTGTTATGCTGTTTTTAAATGTGCTTTATAAAAAAAACTTGGTATGGTATCTTCATTTAGTTAAAAACCCTGGGCTTTGGATGTGAACTCATTCCCTGAATATCAGCAGATTTTTCCTCAATGATGCATAAGAATTTAATCTATTTGACGTAACGATGCTTTGACCAACAAATTAATTTAAAAAAAAAGACATTTGCAATAAAAAGCACGGTTTACGAAAAGCAACGTGGTAAACAAACAAAGACATGGAAACATTGACTTTCCTAGATTAGGCCACCCAAAACTATTTATTCCATATCTTAAAAACGTATGATAAACGAACTATTAATTTTATTGTGTATTTACTACTTATACACTGCTTTAACTGGTTTCGTGGCATTTGGTGTAACGATAGTAATAGTAATAAAGCATACTGATGGTTAATTAAATGAGTGACCTTTATAATGTTCGTAAAACAGCACAACGTTAATTCTGCAATAAATTAGCTAAATAATATGTAACCAGCATTTGAAGCCAATTGCCATTCATAATAACCATGATCACTGATCTCTAAACAGTCACTTTAACCTGTAAATGAAGCAGACAATGTGCCAACGCTAGTGTTTACGCTGCTTGGACAATGTCAGCTGCTGCGTAAGGAGGGAGATGATAGGTTTCACGAAAAAAACAGGCTTTTCACACTAGTACAGGTAAAAAGCAGCTATTCCCTAGGGCGTAGTAGGGTCAAATAGACCCATTA